GCTCAGTCGCCGCCACCGCCGCCGCCGCGAACATGGAGCCGCCGGACGCCGCGCCCGGGGCGCGCAGGGCCTCGAGGCTGCTGCTGCTCACGCTGCTGCTTGGGGCGCGCCCAGGTACGGCTCGGCCTGAAAACAGCTGCACTAGAAGGGGGTGGCCCCTGGGGACCCCGAGAAGGAGGGGCAAGACATGGGGATCCCGGGGAGGAAGGATATGGGGTGACCCTCCCCTTGAGACCTGTGGACAGCCAGCAGGGAGGCAGGGAAGAGCGTGGCAATGGATCTGGAGGTACCTGAGAAGTCAGCCTCCAGCCCCTTGCCGCTCAAGAGCCGGGATTCTGGGGCCCCTAGTACCTCCCCCTCAAATTAGCAATCTGGGTCCCCAGCCCCTTCCTCCTCCGACAGTCCGAGACTCCAGCTGCCAGGACACAAAAGACCAAAAGCCCCAGGACTCCTGCTCAAAGTTTGAAGGGGACCCAGGGATCGCCTCAAAGAAGCTTTTTGGGGAATTCTGAAAGTAGCCTCTGAGGCCAGACTCTACAGCCCCCAGACCCCCTTGGTAAAGGCTAGAGCGCCCGCCCTGCACACTGACAGTGGAACAAAGTGTTTCCGAATGACAGTGCCCCTTCCCGGGGCCCCAGATAAACTCACACACCTGCGCTGCTGGGAGGGCAGCGGGCGCCGGGGCGCTGAGCTGGGGACGGCGCCTAGAGGGAATGGGGCTCAGGGGGGACCCGCCCCGCGCTCCAGCCTGGCCCCACGTCTCCCCCTCCCTGGGGACTGGGGGGGGCGAAGTGGGTCCCTGGGAATCCAGGCCCCTGGCACAAGCTTGGCAAATAGTGGGTCCCCAGGGGCTAGGCTGGGCCAGGCTGGGCAGGGAAGGGAAGGGAGGTTCTAAGAACTGAGAACTGGTGCCAGGATGCCAGCCCAGAGGGTTAGAGAGAGGTTTCCTGCCAAGAAGACAGTCTTACTGGAGGACCCTCTGCCTACCAGGCTCAATCTCAGCCCCTCCTCTCTTAGACCTCAGAGTTTAGGTCCTCAGCGCCTCCTCCTTCAGACTCAGAAGTCCAAGACCCCAGGCCCTTCTTCCTTCAGACCTTAGAGTCCAGGACCCTCAGCTATCTCCTCCCCCAGATTCAGGGTCCAGATTCCCAGGCCCCTCTTCCATTACATCTAGGGGTCCTGGCCCCCAGCCCTTCCTCCCTCATACCCAGAAATCCAGGCCTCCGGGTCCCCTCTCCCTCACACACCCAGGAGTCCAGGGCCCCATTCTCCTCACTCAGACCCAGGAATCTAGGACTCCGGCCTCCTCCTCTCTCAGACGCAGAAGTTTGGGGCCACTACCCCTTCCTCCGTCAGACCCAGGAGTCCAGGACCCCAGCCCCACCTTCCCCTCCATCAGTACTACGAATTGAGCCCACAGGGCCTTCTCCCCTCAGACCCAGGATCTTGGGCCTCAACCCTGTTCTGTTCTGGGGTGACTCACCTTGCCCCCTATCAAAGAGACGGGGGCCCAGGGGTGTCCAGGGGGCTCTGGCGCCAAGCTGGGCAGGTCTGAGCCAGCCTGTCCCTCCCACATTCCAGAAACCTGCCCAGCCCTGTCCCCCCTCACCACCCCCACACACCCAGCCCGCCTCAGCTCCAGGCCTAGCAGCAGCCCACACTCCAGACCCCCCGCTTCTGAGGGAGGGAGGGTGAGCAAACCAGGAATGAAAGAGAGAGAGAGAGACAGGGACTGAGGAATGGAGATGAAGACACTGAAACCAAGACAGATAGGCTGAGGCCGGGGACTAGTGTCCACATGACGGAGATAGAACCAAGCAGGACAGGAGGGGTGACCATGGAGCTGTACTGGCCTGGTTGGCATTGGTACCAGGGGGACCTGCCCTCAGCATGCCCTCAGCCATTTGGTCTGACATGGTTTTAACCCCTGGTGATGGAGTGGAGGCCGCAGGGCACCATGCTGTCCAGAGAAGAGCCCTCAACTGGCTAGAAGAGGGAGGGTTGTCTGAGGTCAGAGAGAGAGAGAGATAAGAGACCAAGGGAAAGGAGGCCAGGGAGGCCCCATATTGGATGCCTGGGTCTGAGAGAGGAGAGGGTTTAGGGGTCTGGACAGAGGAGGATACCTGGACTCCTGGGTCCAAGGGAGGAGGGAACAGTATTGGGGGCCTTGGTGTCCTGTGTCTGAGGAAGGAGGCAGTAATGGGAGCCAAGTCTCCTGGGTCTGAGGGAAGAGGGGTCAATAGTGGGGGTCCTGAACTCCTGAGCCTAAGGGAGTAAGGAACTGGGATCTTCAACAACTGAGTCCAAGGGAGAAGGAAGTCAGAGGCCTGCACTCCCAGGTCTGAGGGAAGAGGACTCTGTCTGGTGGACTGTCCCTGAGGGCAGTGCGTGAGTGGGTGGGTGTAGAGCACTCTCTCTCTCTCACAGGAGCTGAGGCTGAGCTGCACGTGTCTGTACCTCCGCTGGTGGAGGTGATGCGAGGGGAGCTTGTCACTCTGGACTGCACCCCTTCAGGGACCCACAGCCATTACGTGCTGGAATGGTTTCTGGTGAGCATAGGGGTGTCGACGGCTGCTACCTGGCTGTTTCCATTATACAGATGGGGAAAACTACGGCCCAGTCAAGACTTACAAAGTCACCTGGTGTCTAGGAACAGCTGAGATTAGAGTGATGTCCGCAGAGTCCTGGTTCTTGAGAGAGACGCAGAGACAGAAAGAACATTCGGGGACAAAGACATCGGAAAACCAGAGACTCAAGGGGGAGGGATTCAAGAGAAGTGCACCATCCATCTTCCCAAGGATGAAGCTCAGAGACAGGAAGAGTTAGGCCAGATGGATGAATGGAAATGAGAATCATGGGGAAGAAGAGGATAGGATGCTGTAAGAATGTTCTTGTTGTTGTTGTTATGTGCTGGCACGTTGAAACCAACTCAGAGCTGAAGCAGGTTGTCAGAAGTTATCAATTCCACGGGATGAGATTGCCCGTCTTTATCCCACAGAGCAGCTGGTGGATTTGAACCTTGTACCTTTGGAATGGGAGCACAGCTCCTTACCACTAGGTCATCAGGGCTCCCTAATTTACATTAGAGGAATTGTCATTAATATCATGAAACAAAATGTGTTTGAATGGTTGGATGGAAACCCAGTGAGTTTCGTAATCATTTATTTGGAACACAATAAAAAAACAGAGAGAGAGGGATGATGGAGACGCTCCCACCTCATGATGACCCCACACGTGACATAGACCCCAACACTGTATGGTTTCCTTGACTGTCATTTTTATGACAGCAGATGGCCAGGCCTTTCTTCCGTGAGAGAAAATGAGGGGAGGGGAGGAGAGGCAGCAGAGTGAGAGAATGAGGGAGTGAAATAGAGGCAGAGAAAGAGAAGGCAGAAGATAGGAGGCCGGGGTGGAGGGAGCAAAGGGTCCTGAGGGAGAAAGTAGCCCAGAGACAAGCAAGAAGGGAAAGGCGGGAGGGGCAGAGAGAGGAGGGCCAGGCGGGCAGCCCCACTGAGACCCCTTGTCCGCAGCTGGAGCGCTCCGGGGCCCGCCGCCTCCTGGCGTCTGCAGAACCCCAGGGCATGAAGCTACAGGGCATGGTGCACAGTACCCAGGCCCGCAACCCCCCGTACCAGCTGGACTCCCAGGGCCGCCTGGTGCTGGCTGAGGCCCAGGTGACCGATGAGCGGGACTACGTGTGTGTGGTGAAGGCCGGGGCGGCGGGCACTGCCGAAGCCACCGCAGGCCTCCGTGTCTTCGGTGAGTGAGGGCTCCCCAGGGGAGGGGAGGTAGGTGAGGGCCCTGGACAGGGCTCCTGAGGCAATGTGATCGATCCCACAGTAAAACCAGAGGCCACCGAGGTTGAGCCCAACAAAGAGATGCTGTCTGTGATGGAGGAGTCGGCACAGAAGGTATCTCAGGGATGGACTGTGATCCAGGGGCCTGGACAGAGAAGGGGCCAGAGGGGCTTAAGGCAGGGAGGAGGCTAGAGGCCCAGAGTCCCAGGTCTGATCTGGGGTGGACTGGAGGCCTAGATTCCTAGGTCTGAGGGAGGAGGGGGCTGGAGGCCCAAAGGTCAAATCTGAAGGAGGAGGGAGCTAGCGGCCTGGACTCTCAGGTCTGGATAATGAGGGTCTGGACACCCACTTGAGAGTCCTGGCTCCAAGCCCAGGGCCAAACCTGTGTCACCCTCAGATTGCCACCTGCCTCAGCGAAAATGGGAACCCAGCTCCCAAGATCACATGGTATCGGGACGGAAAGCACCTGGACGTGCCCATGGAGGTCAACTCGGGTCAGTGCATTGCAGTCATGGGGATGGGAGTGGGTGGCCACTGGGGTCTGCTGACAGAGCCTGCCGTGTCTCCTATAGAGGGCTACACGGCCAGCCGCACCATCCGGGAGGCCTCAGGCCTCCACTCCCTCACCAGTGACCTCTACTTGCGACTCCACAAGACTGACCGGGATGCTACCTTCTACTGTGCCGCCCACTACAAACAGCCCCAGGGCCATGAAGGCCGCCTGGACAGCCCGACCTTCCGCCTCAACCTTCACTGTGAGTCCTCCCACCCGACCCAGTGCAGAGACGCACTCACGAGACCCACCTGCCCTGCCGGCCTCTGCTCTCCCAGCTCTTGCTAAATTGGGTCCTAATCCAGCGTCTGGCCCCTAATCTCACGCTGACCCCGCACCCACACTGATCTCTGGCCCTTGACTTGTAACTTCACCTTCTTGTAACCCCTTGCCTTTGAGCTCAGATGTGGGAACCTGAACCTTCAATTTTATATGACCTCAAAAAACCTGATGGAGGGACCCTATAATCAGTGTTGACTTAATGACATTGGATTGAGTTAGATTTTTCGCATGTGGCCTGAGGCATTTGCTGCAAAAAGTAAAGGACTGCAGCCTTCAAGATGGATTGAAGCTCAACATTAAGAAGACAAAGATTCTCACCACTGGGCTGATTGGTAGCATCATGATTGATGTGAACAGATTGAGATTGTTAACAGCTTCAGCTTGCTTGGCTCTACAGTCAAAACTGTAGGCACCAGCAGCCAGGAAATCAAAAAATGAATTGCATTGGGAAGATCTACTGTCAGAGATCTCTCCAAAGTACTGAAGAGCAAAGATGATAGAGACTAAGGTGCACGTGAGCCAGGTCATGGTCTTCACAATTACGTGCCGTGCGTCAGAAAGCTGGACAATGACTAAGGGTGATAGAAGAGTATTGAGTATACTATGGACTGCTGGTGCAGGAAATCAAAAGATGAATTGCATTGGACAGTCTGCTGCCATGGACCTCTCCAGAGTGCTGAAGAGCAACACTGTTAGTCTAGAAACAAAGGTGCGTCTAATCCAGGCCATGGTCTTCTCAATTACTTATTATGCTTCAGAGAGCTGGACAGTGACTTGAGGATGACAGAAGAATAGATGCCTTCGAGTTGTGGTGCTGGAGGAGAGCCTTGAACATATCATGGACTGCCAAGAAAACAAACAGGTCTGTCCTAGAGAGGGTGAAACCAAGTCTCTCCTTAGAGGCTAGGATTTTGAAGCTCTGCCTCACTTACTTTGGGCACTTGACCAGGAGAGATCGGTCCTTGGAGAAGGACATCATGCTTGGAAGGGTGAATGGACAGCGCAGGAGAGGGAGACCCCAGATGAGATGGATTGATACAGTTACTGGGGCAATGGGGGTTGGTGAGTCGGAGTTAGCGAGACTGGCTCAGGACAGGAAAGGGTTCAGAGCTGCTGTACATAGGGTCGCTATACATCACAGGCGACTTAATGGCACATAACAACAGTAATATACTATGACAAGTTTAGAAGCAGGAGTGGCATCCACTTCCTAAATAGCATGCCTCTGTAAACTCTATGAACTTTGATAAATGTCAATGGTTGTAGAGGGGCTTCAGGCCTTTTGTTCATAGGGTTGCTATGAGTTGTGCTCAACTCAAAGGCAATCAACAACAACAACAACAACATGGACTGCTAGGAAAACAAATAGGTTTGTTCTGGAGAGGGTGAAACCAGGCTGCTCTTTGGAGGCAAGGATTTTGAAGCTCTGACATACTTTGGGCATGTGGCCAGGAGGAACCAGCCCTTGGAGGACATCAAATGTGGAAGGGTGGAGGGGCAGCGCAGGAGAGGAAGACCCCGGATCAGATGGATTGAATCAGTGACTGGGGTAATGGCATTAGTGTGTCAGAGACAATGAGATTGGCTCAAGATAGATCAGGGTTCAGAGCTGTTGTAAATAGGGTCGCTATGAGTTGCAAGTGACTCAATGGCACATAACAGTGTGACGAATAGAGAACAAAGTTCCTTCATGGCTATCAGATCTAATGGCTTAGTGTGCAGGGAATTGCACTCCTAACTTAAAGGCTATGATGCCTCTCTGGTGTTTTGTATCCAGTGGCTCCTTGGAGAAAGCTAGGCAATCTCCTCCTTTAAGATTTCAAAAACCAGGGAGCTCTGGTGGCTTAGTGGCAAGGAGCTGCAACTACAATCCCAGAAGCGCACGGTTCGAATCCACCAGATGCTGTGCCAGGGAAGGAGGGACAATCTCCTCCTGTACCAGTTAGATCTGATTTGACGGTACACTCACACAAAAATAATAAAATAAATAAATAAATAAAATTTTAAAAAAATATTTCAAAAACCAAGCTTCTTGCCATCGAGTTAGAACCAACTTATACCTTGACTTACAGCTATAAGGTTTTCAGGGGCTGTAAATCTCATGGGAGAAAATAGCTCATTTTTCCCTTTCTTAGCAGTTGGTGTATTTGAACTGCCATCCTTTGAGTTGGCAGTGCAACTCCTTATCCTCTGGGCCACCAGAGCTCCTGCGAGACTTTCAACCTCCCGAAAACCCATTGGAGGGGTCAGGTATCGAGTCTGTTCCTACTTGAAAGATGTATATGTCGAGGAAGATTTATTTCAGAGAACGGGCTCCCACACCAGGGGCCACTAACAAGTCCCACGTCTGTGGGTCAGATGGCAGGCTCGTGGCTTCTCCTGGTGCATGGAGCTGCCGGGATGGATGAGCCCAGGATCAGCGGGCCAAGTGGCAGGCTGCTGGCTGGTCGCTGAGGCCGAAGACCCCAAGATTGGCAGGCAGTAATGGCTAACCACTGGCTCAAGTCCGTAGATTTTGTAGGAGATCAGAGAATTATGAACAAGATGCAGGATCTAGATCAAACTAAAAGCTCACTGGCTTTGCCAGACTCCACGTATAAGTGATGAGAGTCATGTCCTCAGGGAAAGTCCCCATCCATTTACTCACTGCTCACAGCAGAGGAGATGATGTTACAAGTCAAGGGTCAGAGATCAGTTGCCTTCATCACGAAGGGGATGACATGACATCAGGGAGAAACTATTGCAACTGCCAAACCGTACAGTAACTGCTGAGCCAGTAAGAAAGAGGATCTAATTGATTGACACACGGCCCTAACCATCAAGACATTTACCCTTCGCCTCCACCTCCATGCTGACCTCCATGCCTTCATCCACTCCTGCCTGTCATCTCTGCCTCACCTCTTCCCTCACCTCCTTAGATCCCACAGAGAAGGTGCAGTTTTGGAGGGCCAGCCCGTCCACCACCGAGGGCTGGGTACGAGAGGGTGACACAGTCCTGCTGCTTTGCCGGGGGGACGGCAGCCCCAGCCCGCCGGATTACACCTTTTACCGCATTCAGGTGATGATCCCATTGTCTCTTTAGGACCCTCAGCCCCTGATCTCTGAAACATTGTCACCTGCTCCTAACCTTTGATCCCGTGGCTAGGGACCAGACTGATTTGTCAGCCCCCAGAAGCCAGATCCCTGACTGGAGAGAGTCCAGACTTAATAGAGAAGTCTTGTTGTATAGTGGTTAAGCGTTCAGCCGCTAACCGAAAGGTTGGCAGTTCAAACCCACCAGCCACCATTTCACAGAAGAATGACATGGCAGTCTGCTTCCGTAACAGTCTACAGGCTTAGGAACCCAGGGGCAGTTCTACTGTCGCCTTTAGGGTCTCTTTGGGTCAGAATCGCCTCCACGGAAGTGGCTTCGGTTAGAGTTTTGTTTTGACAATGATACCTGTCTGAGGTGATGTCTGACTTAGAACCCCTGACCCCTAATTTGAGAGTCGTAGCAGAAGGGAGCTCTGGTGGCCTAGTCTGTAAGGAGCTGTGCTGCTAACCCGAAGCTCATGCCCTTTCTGGTGGTTCGAATCTTCCAGCCGCTCTGAGGGAGAAAGATGGGCAATCTCCTCCCGGATGATTTACAACCTTGAAAACCCACTGGAGGGTCAGCTGCAAGTGGATTCTGCCTCCACAGCAATGAGTATTTTGTAACTTTTTGACTAGCAGAAAGTCCCAGGGTGGTGCCAACAATTTGCATGGTTTGCAGTCTGTTGACTTAAAGGTTGTCAGTACCAATTTACCTGATAGTGCTGAGGAAGAAAGACCTGGCAATCCGCATCTAGAAACCCCTGTGGAGAAGTTCCACTCTGTCACACGTAGAGTCAGAACACACTTGATGGCAACAAGGTTTTCTGTGTGTTACTTTTTTAAACTTCCTGGGATACCTGCCTCAGGTGACACCTGCCTCAGGCGACACCTCTGATCTTTGTAGTTACTGACCTAATAGGAGGCTAACCTGGTGACCACTGACTCTGACCTGGGTGACCCTGGCTGTGGCTCCTCACCCCGCGTCCTCCTTTACCTGTGACCCCAGGACCAGCAGGAGAAGGTGCTGCATGTCAACCTGGACGGGAACTTGACCCTGGAGTCCGTGCGGCGGAACCAGAGCGGCACCTACGGGTGTCGGGTGGAGGATTACGACGCCGCTGAGGACGCCAAACTCTCCGATACCCTGGACCTGCATGTGGCCTGTAAGAGACCCTGAGACGTGGGGGCACAGCATGCGGCCTCACCCTCATCCCTTTCCAAAACATTCCAGAACCTTCTGTCCCTGTCCCTCCTCTTTCTTGGGTCTATTTCATCTCACACCCTCCCATCTGCTGACACAAAGCATTCCAAGAATGAAATTTTATTAAGAAAAACATAAAAAATGTTTTAATTTTTAATCCCTTTTTTGTTAATATTTTTATCATTCATATGCATTTTGTTTCAAGCATGTACATTTTATACAATCTTTTTATTGTATAAAGTATATGTTTTTTAAGACTGTTTTACACAATCTTTCATTTACAGCATATAGAATGAATTTTTTAAAAAAATAATTTATTTGGTTTTTGTAGTTTTTTTTTTCCTTGTCTTATTGTGTACAGTCGAATCTGATCTGACTGGCACAGGAGGAGATTGCCCCTCTTTCTCCTGCAGACCACCTGTTAGATTCAAATCTGTGCACTTTAGGGATTGCAGCGCAGCTTCTTGCCACTAGGCCACCAGATCTCCCTTGAATAATTTATTTAGTTTTTGTTGTCATCCTGAAAACTCCTCACAGCTAGCATGTAATGTATTAGAGTTAGTATCCGGCCATTTCTCTGCAGACCGTTTAGTGACATGGTTTGTATGGGCTGGTTTATTTGTGGTTGTCGTTGTTTTAAATGTTAAAAATTGTGATTTGAGTAAAGTTTACAAACCACATTGGTTTTTCCATTCACGTATTTCTACACGTAGTGTTTTAGAACATGATTCTCAGTCCCCTCAGTGTACTTGCACTCTTCCCACTTCTTCCCTATGGTTCTCATTTCCATTAATCCTTCTATTCTACCCTTTTCTGCCTTCATGGCTTTCTCCTCGGGCAAATGCTGCTTTTTGGACCTTATATTGTAGTTACTCTAAGGAGTGAATGCCTCTCTTGTGTTACTGATCACGTATAGGCCTGACTATTGTTCAAAAGTAGAGCTTTAGAAGGAGGTGTGATTTTTTTGTTTTTTTTTAAAAAGTGAATTATGTTCCAGATTTGAAGAGTAATTGAGGGCCATGGTCTGGGGGGTTCTGCCAGTAAGCCTGGCTTTTTAAATGCTTTTTTAGTTTTGTTCTGCATTTCCCTTCTCTATCCAGGATTGTCTTCTGCGACCTGTTTTAGCGTATTGAATGCATTCTTCAAGTTATGCTCTTGTCTGAATGATTCCACCACTCTTAAGAATGGCAGGTGTTGAGAAACAGGTTCAAGTGGTGACTGTGGAAGCCCAAGGAGCTGTGCAGTCACTCCCTTCAGCTAGTTTTCTCAAAGTCCAGAGCAAGATCTGCCCCCACCCTTTAACTATCCTGGAGGCCTCAGCTGGGCAAACCTGGAAGAGTCCAGGCTGAGTAGGGACTCTTCTATGCAACACGTGTCTGAAGGGCTCCAGAGCTCCATCGAGGCTGTCCATGTTCATCCACATGCAAAGTGCCTGCTGTAGTGGGACACAGATAGCTACGTTTTAATTTATTGCATTTATGAATTGGTAAAAGCATTATTTCTTTTGATGGCTTATATTACTCTTCCACCCTTGTCCTATATCCTGTGCCCTAAAACCAATTAGCCTACTTTGGACAAGTGCAGACATCTATTGCCTTGAATAAGTTTCCTCCAGGTGTGCTCCAGTCTTGAATTTATTTCTTATCTGTATGTTCAAGTCTTTGTCATCAAAACCTGTTTTCCACATTTCAGATTCAGTTGTGAATAACTTCATTTTCCTTCATTAGGAATCTTTAAGCAGGGAGGGAAGGACATCCCAACATCAGCATCTATTTTTGGCACATGGAGGGGTTTTTTTATCACTCCTGTTTGCACAGAGCCGGTTTTTCTCTTCTGCTCCCCCACTCCCTGCATGAGTGTCTGCGTCAGGGATATGACTTTCTGAGAAGAGTGTGGCGGGAAGAGGGAAAACCCAATTTGTGTGTGGACTCCTCGCTGAGCTTATTGAATTGGCTGCAGGACTGACACAGGTTGATGTTGAACTTTTGGTCTCATTTGTGAAAACTTATACAGTTTTTCTGTGCTACACTACATCCAAATCACCAAATGACAGATCAGCCCTTTGTGATCCTTGGTGTAATGAACTGCTTCTTTGGGGCTTTTTCTTTCTGGGAAGCGGGGAGAAAGGAGCAAGGTGCCACCCTGCTCTTCATTTGTATTTTGGTCCCAAAATGTAAGTACAATTTTCTATGTTACTTTTTTGTGGTAACTACCAAGATGACTATTTTAATTAGATAAGTTATATGAAAAGGAAGGAAAAAATCCATGTCTAAATAATAAATTAAAAAAGCTACCCAACAACAACAACAACAAAAAAAAGAATGGCAGGTGTTGGACCATTGACCAACCAGAAGGTCAGCAGTTCCAATCCAGCAGCCACTCTGAAGGAGAATGAGAAGGCAGTTGCCTCTCATTAAAACAAACACCCTCGGAAGCCCGACGGAGGGTAGTCACGAGTTGGAATCGACTTGACAGCAGTGGCTTTGGTTTGGATTATGGTTCAGCTGCTGCTTTGTAGGTTGGTGGTTCAAACCCACCAGCCAGTCCTTGAGAGAAAGATGAGGCAGTCTCTTCTCCTAATGATTTATAGCCTCGGAACGATGGAGGTTCCCCATGAGGCAGAACTGACTCATTGAGAGTGAATTTGTTTTAAGACCCTCTGCAGGGAGTGCTGGGGGTGCCGTGATTAGGGTGCTTGGTTGCTAACTGTGAAGGTTGGTGAAGTCGGTGGTTCAAATCCCCATCAGCCACTCCTCAGAAGATGCTGTTGTTGTCTCCCATAGAAGTTTACAGCCTCCAAAACTCTACGGGGCAGTTCGGCTTTGGGTCTCTGTGTGTTGAAATGCACCCTGTGGCTGTGGGTTTGGTGCGTCAATCGACTCCCTGGCCCTAAGCTTCCTATCAAAATTTGTGAGTTGGTAGTGTCAGTTGAATCAGAAGGCTCTATCTAAAGCACAGACCTGACCCCCCTCTGCTTAGAACCTGCTATGGCTCCCTAGTGCCCCTGAGAGAGAGATAGAGAGCACGCTAGATAGGGCGAGAGAGCACCTAGTTCTTCCCCAAGACCTTCAAGGCCCTTGGAATCCTGGCTTGGCCCTCGGGCCAGCTCTCCCAGTCAAGGTTATCTCCTCCTTGCAGCCTATGCCCTAAACTTCCTCCTGGAAGCCCTTCTCACACCCTAAAAACTTCCCTGAAGAGTGACTCAGAGAATTAAACTCTTGACTACTAACCAGAAGAATTGTGGTTTGAATCTTCCCAGGGGCACTTGGCTTACCTGGGCTGAGGTGGGTTGTTGGGCTTGCTTCTGAGGGCACTAGGGAGCTATGGAGTGTTCTATGCAGAGGAGGGTCAGGTTTGTGCTTTAGAAAGAACCCTTTGAGCAGTTGCCCACTTCCTCTAAAAGGGTCCACCTTTGAAAACCCTGTGGAATGCAGTTCTACTCTGCAGACACAAGGGTTCGCTGTGAGTCGGAATTGACTCATCAGTGACAATCAACAATAAAAACCTAGGCATGCTTATCTGATCGGGACCTTGTGCCAGGTATTATGGACACACCTGTGAACACGACAGCTCTGGTCCCACCTTCCCAGAGCTTGTCCAGCTTAAAGGAAAAAGTAGGTGCTTCTACAGGGGGTTGGGCTGGAGGGACGAGCAGGGGAGCCAAGAGCACTTTTTGGTTCAGAGGGTTGTGTGTCCGGAAGCCGGTGCTGATGTGGAGACCCGCAGGGAGGAAGTTTATTGGAGAATACCTTGGAAACTTAGCTGAAACAATGGACTCAAACAGGTTGTTTTTAAGTGTCTTGGCGGCAGTTCCTGCTCTCCGCAATCGTCTGTGTGACAGAAGGACAAACCTCCCAGTCCTGCTTCACTGCCACAGTCGCTGTTGTGTTGAGCCCACTGTCGAAGCCACTGTGTCAGTCCATGTCATTGAGGGTCTTCCTCTTTGTTCCTTTTTGAAGCATAATGTCTTTTCCAGGGGACCGGCCCCCCCTGATAAACTTGCCCAAAAGCCTATGATATGAAGCCTCACCATCCCTGCCTCTCGGGACCGTTTTGACTGCACTTCCAAGATAGAGTTATTTGTCGTTTTGACAGTCCATGGTCGATGCAGGGTTCTTTGCCAACACAATTCAAAGTCTGTCTTATTTATTCGTAGTTTAACATGAAGCCCCGGCAAGTACCTAGGCTTAAGTCAGGTGCACCTTAGTCTTCAAAGGTCACATTTCCACTTTTTCAATAGTTTAAGCGGTCCTGGCCGGCAGATTTGCCCAGCACCATAGCCTTTTGTTTTGTTTTTTAAATTTTTTTATTATTATTTTTTGTGTGAGTGTACCGTCAAATCGGATCTGACAAGTACAGGAGGAGATTGTCCCTCCTTCCCCGGCAGAGCATCTGGTGGATTCGAACCGTGTGCCTCTGGGATTGTAGTTGCAGCTCCTTGCCACTAGGCCACCAGAGCTCCCCTGCCATATGCCTTTTGATTTCTTGACTGCTGGTTCCATGGGTGACGATCGTGGTTCCCAGTCAAATGGGGTAAATCCTTGACAACTCCACATGTTTCTCCATCAATCATGATGTTGCTTATGGGTCCAGTTCAGACGAATTTTTGTTTTCCATATCTTGTGGTATAATTCAGACTGAAAGCTGTAATCTTGGAGCTCATGTCTGTCTGTGTGTGTGTGAGAGAGAGAGAACATTTTATTGCACCTTAAGTGAAAGTTTACGTAGTAAATTAGTTCTCCAGTCAATAATTCACACATATTGTTTTGTGACATAACATGCAGTTCCTGCAATGTGTCTGCACCCTTCCCTCTCTCTCCCTGGGTTCTCTGTTCTCACTCGTCTGGTTTCCTTGTTTACCCATGTTCTCATACAAGGTTTGAGGCAAATGTTGCCCATTAGATCCAGAGTTGATTGTTCTAAGTGGGCTGCTCTTCCGGGGTGTTACTTATTCACTCTGGT